GTCTCTCCTGCCTGGGCTGGCTTTGAACCGCGATCCTCAGATCTCAGCCTCCTGAGTAGCTAGGATTACAGGCGTGAGCCACCAGCGCCCGGCCTTGTGTATTTATTTATTTTTCTTATTTTTATATTTCTTATTTTTCTTATTTGTCTCCAGAGCCCAGTTGACTCAGACAGGAGATGATTTTATTTAATTAATAATTAATTAATTAATTTAGCATCACCATAGGACTGCCTATGTCTCTTATTAAAAAATGACGGGAGTTAGAAATAATGCGGCGCTCAGGCAAATGTCATTGATTGCTTACTTGTCCAGCGTAGTAGCAGTCAGGCTCTGGACAACCTCCATGTTGCCTGTCTAGGATTTTGATGGTACATTTGCTTAGACAGCCACTGGGACTCGCTCATTTTTATGGAGCTTCCAAAACTGTCATTTGACAGCAAGTGTTTGATTCTCAGGAATTCATTGGTATTCACAGAGGCTTGTTTGTAGTTTGCACCAGGCTCCTCTCCAGCACCAGGCACGCTCCATCTGTGCTGATAACACAGTGTTCTTTGGCATTGCAGACTAGAGGAAGCCAGAAAGTGAGTTCATTTCATTACCCCAGATGTTATGTGAATGACAAAGCGCTTTTGCATTATACACCACTGCCAGTTCAGTACCACCTGTAAGACGAGATCTCTCCCTCTCGCCCATCCCAAAATAAACTGCCTCTTGAGGAGCGTGATAACTCATCAGCTTGGTCGGCCTGAAAACCAAACCAATCTGTCATTCTGACCTTGCTACTTATTAGTTGATTTGATACTTCACCTAATTAATCAGTATTAACAATGCCCTCAGGTATGCTAGGACTGTGTTTAAACCTGTCTACATCCTAAAACATTATAGCAGTGTGCCTTGGTCTCTGCTTTTAGGAAGCAGAGGCTTGGATGAATAAAATAGAGTAGCATGTTATGGGTTGCCTTCCTTGTTTGGCTGTATTTGAATTAAGGATTTCATAATCGACTTCTTTTTTTTTAAGCTGTTAACCACAGGAAAAATTGGCCGTCATCAGTTGGAGAGCCTCTTTAGAATACATTCTGAACTGTTTTCGTTTTCCGAGTCTCTGGTTTAACTTGGGTGCACAGATCTGGCATACAGATTTTCCTTTGCACCGTGAGTAGGCTCCAAGTGAAACAGGCTCAGGTTGCCAGGGGTTCAGTAGCAGCTGGAAGAGTTTAATGGGACTCCAACATCTGCTTTCACTTAAATGTAAAATTAGAAACACGGCTCTCATTTCCAACACGGTGTTATAATGATTAGAACCGGAGGGCCTGTTAGTATCGGAACACATACAGGCACATTTTGGTGGCACATTGACTGAGGGGGAAAAAAAAATCCTGGCATTATATGGTCACCTTCTTACTCTGGTTCAAGGAGTTTCAACAAAGGTGTTTCTGTGGTCAGTCTGAAGTGCTAAGCTGTTGCAAAATTTGTTCTTAATCCATGAAATCCTACCTTCACAACAGTGCTTAACTCGAGGGAGGTAGTCTCCTCTGCTCATGGATGATGTCCCAAGGCGATCCTTGTTTTATGTTTCTTTTAAAATACTTAAACCCTCAAAAATTCATGACCTGGAAAACGCTCCTTAATTGTCATGAGTGTCAGAATACAGACGCCCAGATGTAAGTGTTTCATCACGTTCCCGAGTTGCTGGCCACCGTGTGTTTTAATAATCCTACAAACAGGAAGTTATAGGATTGGCAGGAGAGAAAGTCACTGACTTTCTATTTCCTTTCATTTAAGAGGGCTGCACAGTATGAATTTGTTCTTATCAATGAACATGAATGAATGTAAAATTGTCAATCAAAAAGCATTAATAATATTTTCTTGCTATTTTGTTACCAAAACAGATTTTTTTTACACTTTTCCTTTAAGATTTCCTTAAGATGTATTTTTTTTCTCTTCATCCTGGTTAAGTCCACAAATTGAAATAATTTCAAACCTCTTCCTCCCCTAAAACTGTTTTAGTCTTGAATAGTTAGGTATACACAGTCCCACAGATACTCCTTCTCTAGCTGATCCCACCTCTATTGTTTTAAGGTTTTATATCCGAAAGAAAAAAAAGGGTCAGATGAGCATGCCAAGTTTTTAGCTTTGCATTTTTTCAAACCAATCTGTGTCTTCTGTTATTATCCCTGAAAGTAATACACACACACACACACACACACACACACACACACACAGAGATAGACAGATAGATAGATCGATTGCATTTTTTCAAAGCATATTGTTGGTAATAGAATTTTCTTCATAAAAATGAAAAATAAGTTGAGAGTTGGCCTTACTGTAGAATCCTAGCTTCTCAAGAGGCTGAGATCTAAGGATCAGAGTTCAAAACCAACAGAGGCAGAAAAGCCTTTTGAGATTCTTATGTGAGTAGAGTGCCCACCCTGAGTAAGGACAGCCACACAGTGAGGCCTGAGTGGAAGCCCCATTACCAGTACCCTCTCCCCATTTTTTTTTTTACATTTGAGAAATACCAGCTCCTCCCTCCCATCCCCACAGTTGCAAAAAAGTTGAGAAAAAGTTGCAAGCCATTTAATGTTTTTCAGGGAAGCTGCCTTTATTTGGTTTTCGAGAGCTATTTACTGAATATTGTTATTTTGTACATAATTTTTTTCTGTTTTAAATATTCATTAATGCTCACATGTAATTTTGTGGTAATTTCTAAAGAAAGAATAAACCATTCTTGTCTGAGCTTGATGCTCGTCTCCTTTTTGTGGTCTATTAAGATTAAAATAGACAAAATCATTTTTCTCCCTTTTCTTCCCTTGCCCATTTTCTAGCCCTTCCTTCTCCCCTCTAACCCTTCCCTTTTCCTATCTTTTCCTCCTCTTCCCAGCCCTCTTGCTTATTATTCTTCTATCTTCTCTCTCATCCCTTCCTCTTCACCCTTCTCATACCTCTCTCCAACCAGCCTGAAATAGTAAACTGTAGAAACTGCTCCATAGAGAGAAGTTGTTTATTCTTCTTCAGACCAGGTAAAGCAGAGGACAGCGGCCTTCCTCCTCTGGGGTGTGTCTGCTGTCACATGGGGAGCAAAAGGCAACTTTCAAATGAATTCCTAGCAAAGGCGTTACCCTGGGCTCTCCAAAAGAAAATGCTCAGCTGAACGGCTGCCACCTGTCTATGTAGAAGGCCATTTTCTCTTCCTTCTCCTTTGCTCTCTGTGAGTCAGGTCACATACAATCTGGGGAAAGAACTTTTTAAGCAACTGAAGATGGCAGGGAGGGTCATGAGTTTTACTAAATGAAATGAGAGATGTAAAGGAGAATTATAATAGTAGTAGAAGTCTGAATTATCCTGTGTTCCTCCCCCACCCCCCACCCCACTTTAGAAAGAAACCAGAGCAGGGGAAGAGGAATTTTTGAGAAAATGGTCTGGTGAATTCACTAGATCCTTCTAAATCTTATTTTCAAAAAAAAAAATGGCTAGATGATTTTATTTGAGACACAGAACCATATATAGGAAACAACTACAAATTTAGAGGAGTTTTGCTTTAAAAACATTCATTTCTACGTTTGTGGAACAACATAGGTTGGAGGGAAAGTAGACTAATGTAGCTGAAAAATTCTGATTTTCGATTATAAAGTATACATACGAAATTCATCTCTTTGAGGACCCCCGGGCCCATTGCATAGGCCACCAGCACCTTGCAGAAAATGACCTTGGACATTGAGATGAAGCTGAACCTTTCCAGTTTCAAAGACATAACCAGAGTTTATGCAAGTAGAGGACAAGTCATTCAGACAACAAGTCAGCTCAAAGCTCAGCTTGCTCCTTTACTCTTTTAACCGATCATGAGTATATTGTTCTTTGGTTGGAAAGGATTCAAGAGCTTTCCCCCACATGTATGGCAGAACATACTTGCTGGATGACTGTTCCAAATGTATTGCATCCAAATGCATATTAACCAATTAGGTACTAGTGCTGCTACATCTACTAATTTTAATGGCCTGCTAGGGATGATTGAGTTATTTGAAAACAGTGACAATTGAATAGAGGATGAACAGCAGAGACACCATCAGAAGCTAATGTGACCGCTGCTTTTTTATCTCATGAATTTAGAAGGGTAGCTTATTTTCCCATGGAAAGAATCTGATTCTCAAAATATAGGAAGATAATTTGGTAGGATGTTAAAAATAAGAGATTTCTGTCTAGAAGCTTCTTGGATTTTAAAATGGTGATTTGGGAGTAGCAGGTTGATTGAAAATGTTATCTGACTTGTATGCTAAGATGAGATTTAAATAATTGATTGAATGAGAGACAGAATATTCAGTTACAGAAGTAATTGGTTGGCAAAACCATTAGAACAGAATTATTTAGTCTTAGTTATAAAGGATTGCATCTTTAATCAGGGTGCTTAATTTGATTTCTCGAATGTGTCTGTGGCCTGTCTGACAGGCTCAGTAACACATGAGTTTCTGAATGGAAGGAACTGATCAGAATGTAATCCATGTCAATTCCCATTGTTGTCATTTGTTCCATATTGCTGTCACTTGCTGTAATCAAGAAGTGCGGAAGTGCTAAACACTTTCCAGACCTTTGAGTAATTGACTTCATCTGTTTTATTTTCACAAAGTTTTGAGTCCAACATCAAGTTATCATCCATTTTTCGTCATGGTCAAGGCCAAAATTTTTCAGGCTGTGTGTGACTTAAATATGGTGGCCCTATTTTAACAGCCTTTTTTTTTTTTAAGTGCTTTTAAAAAGGAAATCCTAGCAAGACGTTGTCTTTCCCCATGGAGACACATACTATGCAATGGAGGGGCACAGGAATCCCTCAGAAACAGCTAGATTTTTCTGGGTCTTGGTTGAATCATCCCTCTAGAGTAAAAGAGTCTCTTCTGTGAATCCCTTACGGTGTCCTCCTCAGGACGGAAGTCTAGAAAGCCGGGCAAGTTCACAGTGACAACTCCACGCCATTCCTGTAACCCGTATACTGCTCCTTCCTTTGGGTGGTGCCACCACTGAGCACTCAGGCTTTTTGGTAACATGCCGTGTTTAATAATGGATGAAGGTCTGCCCATATTCTTGAATCACTTTGATGTTCCCCCTAGCATTGTGATCTCTGGTGCAGAAGAAGACATGCAATTAACCCTGGCTTGAGGGTGGCTTTCTGGACTAACTTCTTTCAAACATTGAAGCTTTGAGATACCATGTGTGCCCTTTCCTGCTGCCAGCCACACTGTGTGTCTTGACCCTGAGACACAGGGGTCAAAGATGCCTCTGCAGACACAGCATCTACCTTTCTGTCACTTTTTTAGTTCAACTAGGATTGACACCTCTACCCTTATACCTTTCTTTGGACCACACACCTTTTCTTTAGAATGTTCTAGTTATTAAAATTACAGTTGCAAATAACATGAGGAGCATGCTTTAGGACAAGAAGAAAGCTAGTTTAATGTGTCAGAGGTATAGCAAAGAGGTGTGCAGTAATTATCTCCAGGATGAGCATGTACATTGGGGAAGACTGCCCAGAAATGATCCTTTTTAACTAGCATTTGGTTCATTTTATTTCAGTTTTATTTCTTTTTAAACATTTTAATATTTTATTCACTTACATTAGTTATACACGATGGGGAGGTTATTGTTACTTTTCCACATGTTTATATTTCGATGAGTCTTACCCCCTCTTTTACTATCTGGTTTTATTTCTTCGGTTGTAGTGGATACATAGACATGAAGATTGTACCTGTTAATGGAGTAATGTGACACTTTGATCCCTGTATATGTAATGTGCTGTTGGAGTCAGGTTAAACCACAGAGAACCTTCACAGGTCCATGTTGTCCTCTTGCTGCTTTGGTTGACCCCACGGATTCATCTTTAGGCAGCTAAGTGTGGAGTATGGATCTTGGAATGTGGAACCAAACTTAGCAACACTGACTTGTTGCTGTTCTGCCAACCACTTGACCAGTGCCCCTGTTGCCCCTCTGCGATGGCTAGAGTGCCACTGGATTCAGGTCACACTGTTCTTTCACCTGGAAATGCCACATGCTGGACGCCACTGCTGCTGAGGAATGCCCGTAGCAGTGGTGGGCTAGCCTTGGCTCTGCCTGAGCCGCAGTTGTGAATGTTTTCTTGCTCCTAGCCCAGAGCTTATATGCTTCTACATTAATTTCTCCCACAGACTTTCTGAAGTGTAGAATGTGGCTTAGGTTATTAGGAAGCAATCGAATATCAGGTTGTTTTTCCCCCTCTAGGAAATTCCAGAATCATTTGTTGATTGACTACTTGAAAATGGAAGCTTTGTGAATTGGTGAGGAGGACGCTTGAACGTTCAAGGTTGTAATTCATTTTCCTTTTGTGCTTGTTCACTAGATGTCAAAACATGCAATGAGCTGGACCTGGAAAATTCCATAGATTGGGAAGTGAAGACAATCACAAGCGCCCTGAAGCAATATTTAAGGTAAGTGCTTCTCCTCCACAGGAGGAGACAGTGCTGCTTGTATTTCTGACAGAAAGCAGATGTTCACTCCCTACAAAAATCCACATAATTAAAGCTCTTGAAAAGGAGAAATAGTCTGCAAATGGTAGTGCAGGCCTATAATCTTAACTATCTGGGAGGCAGAGATCAGTGGGTCACATTCTAAAGTCAGCCTGGGCAGGAAAGTTCATGAGATCCCATCTCAGCCAATGTCTGGGTGAAACGGTGAATGACTGTAATCTCAGCTATACGGAGTCATAAAGACTGGGCTCAGTGGCAGGTACTTGTTCTTTCTAGTGACACGGGGAATCCCAAACATAATCTAAGATCCTCTCCTGAAAATAACCAACAAAGAGCCTGGAGACACAACTAACGTGTGGAGAGCACCTACTAAGAAAGCAGGAGGCCCTAAGTTCAATTATTGGGAGGGAGGGGCAGGAAAGGGGAGCAGGAAGGGAGAGAGGAAGGAAAGGGAGAGAGCCAATAAGCAAAGGCGAGAGAGGAGAAGGTGAAAGGAGGGAGTGGAAACTTACTGAGGTATTTAATGTTCCAGAAAATGAGGTAAGCAAGGGACAAAACGTCAGTTTTAGGTAAATTGGAATAGAATGGAATTGGAATAGACGGGTTTTGTAATAGATATCTACTATAGGTGTAAATTCTAGGGATTTGATACTAAAGCGTTAAGGATGAAGACTTGGATTTATTGAATCTTTGTGTTTTAGGCTAATATGAAGATTTTTTTTCTAGTTTACATAGATTTGAACATAAAGGCATATAAAGGAGCTATTATCCTTTCTTCATAAAGAAAGGAATTCAGTGATAAAAAGTTTGAAGGACAATTATAAAGAAGAGGAAAAAGTACTAAAGTATAGAGTTTTCCAGTTGGGAAAAATAGCATTTAAAGTGGAAAGTTGTGTTTGGAAAACTGTGTATAAGTATTTTTTTATTAAAAAAACTTTAAAGGCCAAAAAAAATTAGCTGGGTATGGTGGTCCCAGCTACTTAGGAGGCCAAGGGAGGAGGATCCTGGTCCAAGGCTAGCCCTGTCAGAAGTTGATAGATGATAGTTGTTTTTTTTTTTCAAAAAATGACTTGGATTCCAATAAGCACATTAGAATCTACTTAGGCTATATTTGATATTTTTAAAAGTTATGAAAAATTACAAACTTGGAAGAGCAGGGAGATGAGTATAAGGAAGGGATTGTCGGACTCCATCGTCCTGGAGCTTCAGGTAGCAGCCTTCTGTCCCTTTGGATCCTTCATGCAGCCCATCTGCCGTGTACTTTATATGCCTAAAAGACTTTCCAAAACAGCGTGATCCTGAAATCACAAACTCTCGATTTATCGCAGAAAGGATGGAATGGTCGGAATATAATGATTACACCCCACAAAACTCATGCCCCTCGGTACTCAGCTCACATGCAGTTTATTTCAAAAGTCTTTATACGAACATTTCATATGGTTGATAGGCTTTATTCATCTTTTTTTTAACTGGTACAACCTCCTCCCTCCCCCCCCCCAACCTGGCTTTTATGTACAGATGAACCTGGATGACTTTTTACAAATAAAAGTTTGTACATGTTAGATCTGGCCAAATAGTTAAACTTGAGGTCACTGTTAGATTCAGCTTAGGTATTGTATTATGTAATTACTTTAGTAATTACATTATGGAGGCCTGTTGCATCATATTGGGAGACCTCTGTTACCTGGTTGTCCTACTTTCTACTTACCTTCATGTTTGCTGATGAGTTGAGGTGTGTATTTGATTTTGAGTGTCTTATTTGAAAATGTTTTTAGTTACTCTTCGACTGTTTGTATGCATTGTTGTCAACCCTGGTAGATAAAGAGTTAAAATTAAGGCTAAATCTCCGAATTGAGTATGTAGATTGCCACTGATCCTAACTGTGGTTTTGATGTGGTTTCAAAGGAGTCTCATCAATCCTGCTTTAGAATCATGATGTCTGTGAGCATTCTTGGTTGTCAGGATAGCTAAAGGGGTCGCTGTTGGATTGTGATGGATTGAGGTCAAGGATGGGTTGTTAAGGATCTGGCAATACAGAGACAGCTCGCCCTTCTTCCTAAAGAATTATTCAATCCAAAGTGACGCTAACACGGAGGTTGCGAAAGCATGTAGTACATTCATAAAGGAAATGGTGTAGGAGAACATAAACATACAATGAACTGAATCTGTTGACGATGTTCACCGACTGTGTTGAATATGTTAACAGAGGATTTTACTATTCTAGCAGGAGGCCTTTAATCCATTTTACTGTTTTCAAACTCATACCTGAGACAAGTAAACAAATTGGCCAAGATGTGTCAGCTACTGATGAAAAGCAAAGGGTGAAAATCCAGTCCTGTAGTGTTACATTTTGTGCATTTTGATACTGACTGAAGCCAGTTCCTTACTGTCCCTGCTCTTGTGTATCCGCCTCTTTCCCCACACGGCTTCCCCTTTGAAGCAGACGTTGTCTACAGAATGATGCTATGATTATATAACTTCAGTCCTAAAAATGTACACATTCCGCCTGAATGTGATGAAGAAATTATCCTAAGCCACAGGTGCATTGGGAGATGTGAAAGTTAGTTAGGTTGCTGTTATTTTTCCCCCTTACATTATTTTTTAGCAACTAAAAATGTGGCATTGAGGATTTGACACTCTCTTCTGGTGATGGGCAAGTGGGAGAAATCTTCAGTGTTCATCTTCCTGCATCCGTGTCACCCACATAGTTGTGACTGTAGCAAGTGATTCTAAAAGATGATGCAGCCTGATAGTTCCAGGTCTTGAGGTCTTGCAGCCAGCCAATCAGGGTTGGGATTTCAAATCTATTGCTCATGGACCAGGGCACTGAGCCAAAATACAACTTTTCCTACCCTACAGTGGCTCTGTAATTTTTTTTTTTTGGGTGGAGTTGTGGGGCTTGAACTCTGGGCCTGGGCACTGTCCCAGCAAGCGCTCTACCACTTGAGCCACAGCACCATTTCTGGTACTTCAATTCTTCTCACTGCAAATACCAACTTTTTATTGGATGGGAAGCTAGATGGGGAGGAGGCAAACAACCCCCAAAGCAGCAAACTAAAACAGAGAGCAAACACAGGGAAGGGTCTTGGAGAAGGAAAACAATGCAGATCAGAACTATGTATGTCATCTCCCTTCTCTTCTGCTGACTTGGGGAAGGTATTTGTTGTTGTTGTTGTTCGTTTTGTTTTACTTACTCTTTTTTCAGGGGTGAACCAACCTTGTGAATGCTTTCTTGTTGAAACAGACCATAATTTTTATTTCTGGCAATATCTTTATCACAACACTTTCTCATTGTGAAACAACTCATGATATGTCTCGTGAGATGTTTCTAGCAAATTGATTCTACCTGGAGGAAACTTCTTTTAAGCTTGGAAATTGGAATGGGATTTTTCAGGGAAAGAAATGCCAGTTTAGGCAAATAATACGATTTATATCTCCAAACAGATCCCAATGGGTGGCAAAGAGAAGTGGTTTACAGCATGTTGGGTGGGAGGCTTGCAAGAGACAGTGGCTTAGTATAATACATTTTGAGTGGAGAACTTGTCATTTTTATTACTGCTTTCCTAACATTAACAATATTTATTTTTACGGGGCATTGCCTCTCTAGACATATGGCAATGATAGAAGTAGCTGGTAGAAGATATTTAGACACAAATTCATTTTTATTGGAAAAGAAATCCTTCTTCTGGTTTTGCCAAAGGCTCTCGTTTTTCCTGCCTTTTGGTTCCATACCCTCTAAGTTTCCTGCAAATGCATGACCTTTTTCCTTCTTGGCCAATCAGCTTGTCCATATTTTGAAACCAGCCCTAAAGCCATAAAGGTTGACTTCTAATTGGTCTTTCTTCCTTCTGATTTAGATTGCAATGTAATTTACTTTCTGCTCCCCCCTTCTTTAAAGAAAGCCAGAATGTAGAGAAGAGAGAGGAGACTGAATATAGAGAACAGCTCCCTCCTCACTGTGCTTTCAGATTTAATTTGTCTGTGGTTGTTGTCTTGTGTATGAACATAGACTGCAGCATTAGAAGCTGTCTATATGGACTATAACTCCAAATACATTTGTTTGCAACTTTTAAAAAATTAAATTTAAAATTATCCTTCAGTAATTGTTCAGAGGGGTTTCAATTTCACATGTCAGTTTGTGAGTGCAGTGCATTTGATCAGTGTCATTCATAAATAAATAAATTCATTGATTAGTATGATAAAATAACACTATTCTCATGTAGAGAAAATTTTGACTCTTTAAGATGTTATACCTTGTATTTGGTTCTGCAAACTTACAAAGTTTATTATACACTAAAACTTAAATATAAAGACCGTTAAGACAACAATTATTTATATAGTTTGTGAATATAAGTCATAAATATACCACATTGGTCTTTTCTACAATTTATGTGTTTTTTAAACAGCTTTTAAAAAGTATAATTGACATACAATCAGCTGCATGTACTTGTAATATAAATTCTGATAAACTTGTAAAAGATACTGTCTTTACTGCGACACTATCTTATAACACCACAGCCATAATTAAGATAGTATACCAATCTATGACTGCCTTTCCCCCAAATTTCCTTCCATCCTTACAAATATCTCCTTTCCATCCATCCTTTCTCAGGACCTCATCCATAGTGTAACCATTTATCTGCTTTCTGTTACTTTTTTTTGTAGGTGTGGGGCTTGAACTCTGGGCTTGGGCGCTGTCCCTCAGCTCTTCAGCTCAAGACGAACGCTCTACCGCTTGAGCCACAGCGCCACTTCCAGTTTTCTAGTGGTTTATTGGAGATAATAGTCTTACGGACTTTCCTGCCTGGGCTGGCTTTGAACCACGATTCTCAGATCTCAGCCTCCTGAGTAGTTAGGATTACAGGCATGAGCCACCAGCGCCCAGCTCTGTTATTATATATTAATTTGCATTTCCTGTAGTTTTGTATAAATGAAGTTATGCACCATATGTGTATTTTTTTTAAGCCTAGGTTGTTTTTTTTTTCCCTGTTAAAATAATTAGGACTTCACCTCTGTCTTAGCATGTTCCTGTAGTTCATTCCTTCTCCATAATTTGTGGTCTGTCAAATGGACACACACACGCACGCACGCACGCACGCACGCGCGCACGTCTGGTGGTCCTGAAATTTGAATTCAGAGTCAGGTGTTTATTAGGACTTGGCTTGGGCTCTTGCTCAGCTCTTTTGTTCATGGCTAGCACTTTACCACTTGAGCCATACCTTTACTTCTGGCTTTTTTGCTGGTTAATTGAAGATAAGAATCTCTTGGATTTCTCTGCCTGGGTTGGCTTTGAACTGTGATCCTCAGATCTCAGCCTCATAAGTAGAATTACGAGGATGAACCACCAGCACCTAGCAACTTGAACATTTTAAACCTTCATGATCGAGCATATGCTTTAGCTTGGAAAAGTAATGGTTGGTTGTGTGAACTGGGGATGTGTATCCTGCTGCTTCTAGATGAAGTGCTCCTTAGGTGAAGTACATGCCTGTCAGGTGAAGTCAGTTGATAAGGGACAGAAGATTTGAACAAATGAAGTGATTTTCTGTCTCCTAGTTCTATTAGCTCCTGAGACAGAGAAACTTACATCTCTGACTGTACCCATGGAACCACTTGAGTTCTATCAGTTTTCATAGTGTGTATTTCGAAGCTCTGTTATTAGATCCATGAATGAACATGTAGATTTCTTCTTGATGAATTGATGTTTTTATCAATATAAAATAAGCTCCCATATTTTGGCAACATTTTTAGCTTTTGCATATGTTTAAATTATTATTTATGTGTGCCTGCGAAGCTTTGAGATTTTCCTTTTAAACAACGAAAGAAGAATCTCTGGGTTATAAGATTTCAGCCTTTCCAAGGTTCTTAATATCTTGTCCAGGTAAACCTGAAGAAAAGTATGCAGATTGTGATTTATTGATGTAATTTTAAAATATTTACAAAGTTAGGACATCTGGTTTTGAAAAATTGAGGTGCTATAAGGTTGGTGGTACTGAAGTATTATATTGATCCCAAGATAAGTTATAATACCTTTTTTCCATGGTAATACCATGGATTGAACTTAGGGCCTTGCTTTCTTGTTTAGCTGGTGCTCTGTCACTTGAGCTCTGCTTCATTCCTGCTTTTTTTTTTGTTTGTTATTGTTGTTGGTTGTGGGCTTAAACTCTGGGCCTGGGCGCTGTCCCTCAGCTCTTCAGCTCAAGGCTAGCACTCTACTACTGAGACACAGCGCCACTTCCGGTTTTCTGGTGGTTTACTGGAGATAAGAGTCTGACGAACTTTCCTGCCTGGGCTGGCTTTAACCGAGATCCTCAGATCTCAGCCTCCTGAGTAGCTAGGATTATAGATATGAAGCCACCCGTACTTGGCTTTACACAACTGTTTGTGTGATTCATTTCGTAGAAAATTAAAAAAAAAATCTCTGGATATATCTTCAGTTTTTTTTTTTTTTTTTACTGGTTTATAGGCATAAGTGAGAAAAGGATATTTCTTACACTTTTCATATTACATATGAGGATAAACCATACTTTTATTATGGAACTGTTTCAGAGGAGAAGATTTGATTCTTTGTTTAAGTTTAATACTTTCCATATAAACATGAACTTCAAAACTGCGGGCTTACGTTTGATTAGATCGTGTTTGTCCTTAGGATATGAGTGTCTTATATGTGAATCCAGATGTTTGTAAAGGTGCTTTCCTAGGTTAAATATGGAATGCTGTCTGCTTAGGCCTGACAGCTAAGCTTTGATCATGTCTGGTATACATAGTGGTTCATACCTCAATCAGTTTATTTATTTATATATATGTATATATATATGTATATATGCGTATGTATATTTCTTTATACATACACATATGTATGTGTATAGATGGGTATGTAAGGATATTCCCTGGGGATATTTGTGCATTGACTCAGAGATACCCAATACACTTAACACCCTCATACAAAAAAAATGTAATAAATAAACTCAGAGGGGAGCTGTTTGGCTATATTTGCTAATTCTGAGCTGTTCTCTTCATACAGGAGTCTTCCAGAGCCTCTCATGACTTATGAGCTACATGGAGATTTCATTGTTCCAGCCAGTAAGTGTTACCTGGAGGGGCACGGACATGGTTTTGTGAGGGACAAGGTATACACATTGACAACTTTGACTTGAAAAATTTAAGTTTATTGCAAGCTGGGTTCAGAATAGAAGTCACTTGAGAAGATGGTTCCCCGCCTTTTAGGAAAGTGAAAACAATGGGACAAGATGTTTATGCTTTCATAAGCACAAATTATTGCCGACTGAGTGCTGGTCATGGGTAGGTACAGGGTACGCAGAGCCCTACGGATTCCTGATCGTGGGAGACAACCCTGGATCAAGTTTTGGGGAGTGGTTATATGAGGTTCTCATTACACTATAACATACATAATCACGGCAAGAATAGAATGCTACAGGAAACCAAAAGTAGCTAAGTTGTAAAAGGTTAAAGAGATTAGCAGATTTAGAGAGATTAGTGGGTGGGAAATGGTTTCGCTTAGAAAGATATTTAGATGGAAATTACAAACAGAAGGAATTGTATGAGATAATGCCAGAAACCCAAGCAATGTTTGATGGAGAGTGAATTATATGTGATAAACTGTTAAATGAGAAGACTTGTCGGTTGGTGGAATTTTAATTTATGATTAGTATTTTGTCTGAGTCACCCTTGAGGATTTCTGGTTTTCTGTTATCTTATAGTTCACGTTTTATATTCAGCACATGCTGTTTACTCATTTTAGCCTTCTGATGTATACTGGTGCTAGGGTAATGAATAGTTAGGGAAATTGAAGTTGAGACATGTTAAGTAACTTGGCACATTATAAGAGGACCTTATTTCAAGTTCAACACCCCAGCTTTCCCTGGCAACACTTTGCCATATTGGTTTTCACAGGTGCACAGACAGTAGCTGAAAAACCATATTCTCATTTCTTTTTCTTTTTCCCTTTGGATGTATTCCATAGTTTAATTTGTTAAAAAAAAATACTTAGAGCAGTCCCTCTGGGTCTTACATTGCTACCACCCGAATGTGGCTTACCTTCTTGTGAGATCTCGTCCAGTCAGTCTGCTTAGTAGGTTGCAGAAAGAAGTGCGTGCAGGCCCCACTGGGCATGTGCAAATAGCCCTTTGGAAAAGGCAAAAATGAGGTGTTGTTAAGTTTTGTTTTCATGTGGGAGACAGATAAAAATGAAAGCAGAATCCAGAATTGATATGGTCACGAAGTGGAAGAAAGTTTTCTTGGCAAAAACTGAGGTAAATGCTTAGTTCACTTGACTTCTTCCCTGTGGCATTTTCTGGCAAGCAAGGGAAGAGACATTAGACTTAGTTTGAGGGTAATTGTTTCATATCGTTCTGCCTTAGATCCTGGAAGAAGCTGAGGAGATGGAGGAGATGGCAGCTCAAAACTTGAAACCTTTGAGAATCGGAGAGCCATAGCTGATCATGGAGTGAGGTTTTAAATTGCCACAAGTTAGAGTTACGGCCCTCACTGAGAGCAGCGTGTTTAGGAACATATTTTACAGATGAGAGGTTTCTGATCTCTTAAGAAGTCCCATAGTAAGGGGTGGGGGAGTTTGTTGAAGGTATAATTGAACAGTGTGCTACAAAGAAGTGAATAGAGGCAAAAGGTATTGGACTTGGACCTCCTTTTTTTTGGTTAGTCATGGGGCTTGAATTCTGGGCCTGGGCGCTATCCTTCAGCTCTTCAGCCCAAGGCTAGCACTCTACCACTTGAGCCACAGTGCCACTTCTGGTTTCATAAGTGGTTTATTGGAGATAAGAGTCTCATGGACTTTCTTGCCTGGGCTGGCTTTGAACCGTGGTCCTCAGATCTCAGCCTCCTGAGTAGCTAGGATTACAGGTGTGAGCCACTAGGGCCTGGTTGTACCTCCTTTTTTGTTTCCTCACTGGGCAGAGACATTGTAGCAATCTTCAGGGTGATGTGTACACCAAGACTGTACTAAATTATAATTATTGGCCTGGATTTGGCAATCGTTGTGGTTGGAATAGGATTTGTAGTAAAAGTTCATGAACTAAATGAGTTTATTTTGGGGCCCAAAGTTTCCAGGGCAGAGCTGAGGATTTTATTTTTATTTTTGTCTCTTGTGACCCCCCTCGGCTGTACTGATTGTCTCTTAGGAGCAGATCTACTGATATTTCACATGCATACTTGTAAGTATTGAATAAAGCAGTTACAGAAGTTGGTTGGCCAAAATTAAATTAGTTGGAATACCACTGGAGAATTGGGATTGTGGTTAAGTGCCATTTTCCACTAACAGTGGGACAGCTTACCTAAAATATCTGCTAACTGAGCTGTCGGCTAAACCCCACAAGCATTACCCATCTTTGTTGCCTCCACTCAGACTACGACAGAACGAAGATTTGATTCTTTGCATTCATGCCATAGCTTGCAGCTGTTCTGTGGTAGTGAGATTGTATTTATTTGCTCTTCTTGCCAAGAGGCCTGAAGGTTTCTCCTAAGCCCCTCTATTCTCTTACTAGTTTCTTTCCTGTATCTTTCTGTTGAGGACTTCTGAATTAATATAAGTTCATGAAAAAAAATACAAATATCATTTCTTTGTAGTCATCACATGAAGCAAAGTATTTTATTCCTCATTTTAGAAATACAAATCACCTTACTGAGTCACTGTCTATTGTTGATGCATTGGAAGCCTCAACGAAAGTTTTCTTTCATGAATTTAAGAGTTAATAGAATTTTCTCTGCTACGTGAGTTAACATTTTCCACTCATCCATCCGTCTTGTGAGATAACTATGCTGGGCTTTTGAGTTAGAAATGCTTAAGATAAAAATACAGTCTAGCAAAGGTTGAGGTGTGTATCTGTAGAAGTCTGGTAGGTATGCATCACATTTCATATGGTGTGGCTTAGCCTTTAAAAACACGAGTTTAAAAAAAAAAGTAGATTTTTTTAAAGTTCAGCTTTTTGCTTTTCAACCATTGTCCATTAAAATATAATAAAATGCGTATACGTAAGCAACTGAAGATAACTTTAGGAATCTTTTTAGGAGGACTTATAGCAGTATTGTTTTTTTTTTAATTTTATTTTATTTTATTTGTGAACATACTGTACAGAGGGGTTACAATTGCATGGGCAGGATAATGCGTACATTTCTTACCAAGCATTGCAGCCCCCTCCTTTGTTTACCCTTCCCATCCCTTCCCAGCCTCCCCCCTCCCCCCATCCCAATCCTTCTCCTTCCCCCCTCCCCCCCACCCCCTTCTCCCCCCCCCCGCACCGACATTGTAAAGCTCGTTTTGGACATGACAACTTGTACTTCTCATTGTTGCATCAGATCCACCTGTATCCTTAAACAACTGGTTTTTCCCCATCTCCTCCACAAGTTATACTGACATCAAATATAGTGAAAGCAGGGGTTATACTGTGGGGGAGGGACATACAAAGCAACAAAGAGATAATCTTATAAATGGTTAGAAACACATGTATGAAAGAAAAAACATTAAAATACATATCTAAGGGTTCATTTTCCTGACATCACATTATCTGACCTTTTCCGCTTGACTCATACATATACTAGATATTGCAAATAAGGGAAACCATGGGACCTATGTTTCTTTGGGCCTGGCTTACTTCACTTAATATAATTTTTTCCAAGCTTATAGCAGTATTGTTGCTCAGTGGAAGGCCTTGTAATCATAGGAAGCTCTGCTGAAGGTCAAATTAAAATTAGATTGAGAAGAAAGTCGTTTTTCCTTTAAAACGCCTTACGAATTTCTTTTCTTTTTTTCCTTTGTTTTTGAAGAAAGAAAAAAAAACTTGGGAAAAAATATGTGTGATGTCAAAGAGTTGGGTTGGGCTGGTGGGGGAAGGATTAGAGGAGAAGGAAAAGTGTTGATTCTGTTTTTCAAAGCCGATAACACCATTTTGAGCAATGAAGTCTGTCTCTAGAGAGTGGCAAACTATTTCTCCAGCTTGTGCTTCTCAATGAGTAATAAGTCCGAAAATATTGAAACTAAACTTGCGTTGCACAACGCTGTGAGTTAAAAGAAACGTTTTAGTACAAAGCACTCAAGAAATTAAAAAATACACAAATTGAAATATAAAATGCTTATCCTTGGCAACTGTCTCTTATTCCTTTGGATTTGTGGATGAGTTTTTTCCAAGCTTCTGCTTCAATTAATTTTTTTAAAGTCAAAGCTGTGTATTGAAATTGTGTTTTTATAGCTTTCATTTTCCCTAGTGTTGATGAAGATCTTGGTTGGAAAGCCAGATTTAGCAATAGGCCATAATTTGTCACTTCACTGTTTTAGACAGTTATGTGTTGGTTTTCACTGATTAAATTTAGGTATATCTAAAAGGGTGTTTTTGGTAAAGTGCTTGTATTCTGTTCATCATTTGGTTTGTAATGTCCTAGCCTTTGGGCTGCAACAATTAAGCAACAGCTATCTTAATTGTCTTCTTGTAAAATCTCCTTCCTCATCCTCAGACAGTAATTACTGGGAACGTATATAAGCTGGGACAAACCTCACCTTTCAGATATTGGGGCAATTGAGACGTTCGCAGAATTGACCGTGGCTCTTGAGGCGCCAAGTTGTCTGTGACACCGTGAGGAGATGCGTGGTGTAAAACCATTTATTCCAGGTGCAGAGAGAACGCTGACTGGCTGAACCCTTACAGTTACCAGCTTCTTTTAGGGTCAGATATATAGGGTGGCCCATCTTAATTCCACGAACCTCTTGATACATCATAAATGTGCACAAATAAATGTGCAAATAATAATTTTTTTAAAAACCAAATGAAGACAGCCATGGCATTGGCCTGCAGGTGTAGAAATCAACTTGATCAGAACCATACCTCCTCTGCCCACGTGGCCCCTGCCCTGAAGGAGGGTTCCTGCTCCCCACTTCATTACACCACAGGTCAGGCTCTGCCACACTTACACTTTCCTATTCATGGAATCACACAGAAGCACTGTTACGTCCAACTTCTTTTGTATGCCTGAAGAGAATCATCCACGAGCATGTAATGGCGGTAAGGCAAAGAGGAGAGCTAGGCCTCAGGAGGTTCTGAATTGAAAGCCTGCTACCACCACCGTGGTGAAAGGCAGAGCTGGAGCGCCATTTCCAAGTTGAAGGGATGAAAAGAACATGTTAGTGAGTTTTCTAGGATTGCTATGAAGAAAGTACTCGAGACTGAGTGACAGAAGCATGGCGCTCTGACGGCTGGAGGGAAGAGCGCTCTTTCCTGACCCTTGCGCTTCCCATGGTTTCTTATCCCTCTGGTAGTATTCCTGGGCTCACGGAAGGCTTGAGCTCAGGGCCTGGACACTGTCCTTGAGCTGTTTTGCTCACGGCTAGTGCTTTTCCTCATTGAGCCACAGCTCCACTTCCAGTTTTATGGTGGTTAATTGGAGATAAAACTCTTGCGGCCTTTCCTGCCCGGGCTGACTTTGAACCATGATCCTCAGATCTCAGCCTCCTGAGTTGCTGGGATTACAGGCATGAGCCACCCATACCGGCTTGCCTTCCTTTTCATACAGGGACAGTGGTATTATTGACTTAACTAGTATTGACTTAACCTAGCTACTTGCTGGGCTACCCTATTATAGCACCATATTAACTGACATCTCCCAGATAATACCACGGTATTAGCAGGGCTAGCCTGAGTCATAAACCACAGTTTATAACTGTGGCCCACCACAGTGGGCCCACCAACACCTCCATTCCTTCTGTCTGGTTGTCTTTCTCTCCTAATTACCCCAGTCCAGGTTCTTGAGACCTAGGGACAGTATCTGTGTCCCAGAGCCCGGTGAAGTCACTCTAGGCTGCTTACCCACCTTTCCCATTCCTTCCTGTGGAAGCCGTAATGAAGATCCTTACCCACATTCTCCTTTCTTTGTCTAAGATTCGCCTTGACCAATCAAAGCAATCCCCAGTCCACCTAAGAGCTGCTCTACGCGGACGGGCTAAGCTGAGAACATCAGCGGCTCTTTCTGGCAGATGCAGTTCATCTCCTCACACAACAGACTGTTGTTGCTGTGGGACAGTTAGTTGTCAGGGGCTGTGCTCCAGCAAGTGAGCTGTGTGCCAACCACCAGGGTACGTGCCTTCGGGTAAGGTTGCCACAGCCCCCTGATTCTCCGCACAAACGAGGGGAAGGCAGGACTGCAGCTGTGGGAAATGACCTAAGAAGCAGGCTTTGCAGGACTCATAATGTTGGGCCATAGACCATATTTTTTTTCCCATCTAGAGGTAACAGAGAACGGTTAAATCCTCTTTTTTTTTTAAGGTCTTGAACAGATGAGCTGCTGTAGTGTTGGTTTGGGGGAGATGCACTTGACTGTGTTTTATTAACTATCTTCTCCCCTCTTCTTCTTTTTCTTTTTCAAAGAAAGTGGCAGCCCAGAATCTCGAGTAAATGCTATCCATTTCTTGGTTCACAAACTGCCAGAGAAGAATAAAGAGATGTTGGATATTTTGGTGAAACACTTGACAAAGTAAGTCTTCTTCCCTCCCCTCCTGCCCTCCGCCGTGCTGCGGGCAGTCTGGCGAGCTGGGGTCGGGGCAGTGTCTGCCATACCGGGGCCACACCTGGCGGTGCAGGCCACGCGGCTGACTCACTCTGTGTGTTTTGGATGAGAGTGGTAAAATAGGAATGCCTTCCTAAAGTTGTATAATTATTTGCTTCACAATCCGCTGCCGGCAGCTCAGGGTTTGATTTGATGTAGAAGAGGAGAGTATTCTATACTGACCCATACACAGATCTGGAAATGAGATTCTAGCCTGTTAGCAAATTTAGCTTGGTTTCACATCTACCTGAGTTTGAGCATACTCTTTTAAGTTTGCTTAGTCCAGTAAATGGGGACAGGCATTTCTTAAAATCTCGTCACTCAGTGGAGAAGCCTGCCCTTCTCGTCAAGTCCAGATAACCTTTCAGTCAGTAAAGCTGTAAATACCAAGCAATACTGTTTCATCACCTTTCTTTTTGGTCATGGGGCTTGAACTTTGGGCCTAGACGCTGTCCCTGAGCTCTTTTGCCCAAGGCCAGTGCTCTACCACTTTGAATCACAGTGCCACTTCATGTTTTCTGGTGATTAATCGGAGATAAGAGTCTCTTTGACACTTCTGCCAGCGGTGGTTTTGAACCGCAATCCTCAGATCTCTTTCTGAGTACCTCCCTTCCAGGCATGATCCACCAGTGTTTCAACACCTTTAGTTCACACAAATAAACTAGAAAGTTAGTAGGCATTGTGGTGTACTGGAGTTGCTCCCTATTTGTATAACCCTTCATTTGTGGATATACAGTTGAATAAAGTTCTACTGTCATGATGCTTACTTTCTAATAGAGACAAGATAAATGGATCATACTAAAAATACAAAGTAATTTCAGATGACCAGTGAAAAAGAAAGACATCCATTGCAGGAAGAGAGTCAGGAGTGGTGTAACTTCACAGAATATTTGTTGATTGTGAGACTACAATGGAGGGTCTTTCTGAGAATGAAGTATTTGGATTGAGAAAGTGGCCGGGTTGTTGAGAAGGATTGTTGATGATGTTTATGGTACAGTGGTGCCCAAGAGTGAGTTGAGATGCTCATTGAAGCTAGTTCTTGCAGAGGTGCTGTGTGATCTAGTGATCTAGCAAGGCTTGCAGTGATGCGGGAAGAGAAGGGGCCTTCCTCGGAGGTAACAGCACGGGGTACACGTGGCTAGAGGAGAGCGTCAGAAGCAGGAAGGCAGGCGGGGCCCAAGCTTGCAGGAGGCTGGCTGTCAGGTCAGAATGTTCCAGATCCACTGGGGACATTGTGAGTCTCACAACTCTTTGTTCTTTAAGGAAACACAAACTTGGAGGACATGGTATGTTCCACAGTTATGGCCTTTACCTAAACAAGACCTTTCTCTCTTCCTCTTGAATGCTAGTGTTTCAAATCACTCCAAGCAAAATCTAATGACAGTGGCCAACTTGGGAGTGGTGTTTGGACCAACTCTAATGAGACCACAGGAGGAAACCGTTGCAGCCATCATGGACTTGAAGTTTCAGAATATCGTTGTGGAGATCTTAATTGAAAATCACGAAAAGGTAAATTGGACTTTCTTTTCCCTTTAGAAGTTCTGATTTGGGCTTGTCACAATAAACTATTCTCTTCCCCTCTCCCAGTCCCCCTCTTTCCTCCCTCCTTCCTCCCCCCCCGCCAATCTCTGTGATGAACCTTACCTGCCCTTGCCTTACCTCACTGGTTTAATGAAGAAACATTTCTCTGAGGTTGAGTATCTGTAGTGTGAATGTTTGAATCATTTCTGTTGCACTTATTCCTGTCTGTGGATTTCCCACATGGCTTGTATGTCCTAGTTAGAGCCAGTCAAGTTAGAATTCTGCAGCTTAGGAAACAAGAAGCAGGGTAAATAAAGTTGAAAGGAAGTGCATTGGAGGCAGAGGACTGTGCTAGTCAGCTTTCTGTCACTGTGACAAAACGCCTAGGGAGACAGGAACCCTCTAAGGGGGAGAGGCTTGTTTCTGGCTTATGGTTTCAGAGGTTTCAGAGCATAATCATTTGGCCTGCTGCCCTGGCCCTGTTCTGACTCTGTGTGTCATGGTGGAGTACCTTCCGGCTTCATGGTGGCCAGGAAGGAGAAGGAGAGAGAAGGAGAGGAAAGGGAAGGGAACTGAGTGAGATCATACAGAACTTGTTTTTTGACCCTGGCTTATTCATAATGATCTCCAGTTCTACTGCTCCAAATGATACAGATTCACATTCTTTTTTATGGCTAAATATTCCATGGTGTATATAGCTACTAAACAGTGTCATATATTAGCTATTGTGAATCTTGTAGCATTCTATGTAGTAGAACTTAGTACTTTTTTGATATTATTACCTTTGATTCCTTTCCCAGATTGCTCTTAACTTTTCCTCACTGGTGGACTGGATTATCTGTAGCTCCTCTGAAGATGTATCAGCAGAGCTGAGTGTTTGTTAGCCAGTCGTAGGGCATTTATGGTCCTCTCACACTGTCACTAAATCTCATTAGTGTGCACTAAGCCGTCCAGACAGCTCCTGGGGAGATGGCTGCTGTCCATTGTTAGCAAAAGAAATCATTAGACCACAAGGCTTGAAACTGTTATCGTAGTTGAACTGTCATTTGGTTAAATCCTCATTAGGGGACCCTGGTGCAGCAGATTTGTGAAGACAAAGCCTCTAGGTTTTGCTCTTGGATAAGACAAATTCTGCATCAGGATCTGCTCGGGTTTTTTTTTTTCCCCCTCTCATAGGAAGATGAGCCTGTGACTTTCTGTTGGCACTTCTGAGTGCCACTGCACCTTGTTAAGAAGGTGAACCATTCTCATAGTCACTACAGGTGGCCCTGCTGTCAGAGAGGGTACTTGGTAAAGCTGGTAGAAGGCTCTGCTTTCCCTCTCTTCCTGTTCCTCACTGGACGATGCTTTGATGCTCAGTTGACATTAGAGCATGAAGGTTCTGAGACCAGAGCAGGTGGACCTGAGCTCCAGCCCCTCCGCTGTGCAGAGGAGCTGGAGGGAGTAACGTCAGCTTGCATTAGTTGACAGTTCTTCATTTCACCATCACCTCTGTCTCTTCTCCCTTGTACACTTGCACTCCCTGCTCTTTATTCTTGCTTTGAGGAAGAACTTTCTGCTGACATGGGTGTCTGTGCAGACAGTCTTAATATAGACACACACACCCACAGCAGCCATTTATTACCTTGACATTGAACTCAAAGACACACCCAAGGGGCTAAGGGGTCCTGCATTGGGATCCATCCAGGGATGGATGGAGGCCTTCTGAATAATTAGGATAGGGAATGTTGAAGTCTCCAGAGGAAAAGGGAAGGACTGGAAGGAAGATGGGATGGGGTTAGAAAGGACAAGAGAGGGAGGAGCTTGCTTTTCCTCCATTAGTGTATTTTTTTCCCTCCTAGGAATGTGACTAATGCACATTGAGTTACTAAAGTAACTAAAGCCAAGACACACAAGAGAATTCTAGCTGAGTTTTAGTTAAGAAAAGACCACTTTTGGAGTTCACAATTTCTCTCTGTCTCTTTGCTGATTATTATTTAAAAAATGTATAAAATCCATGTGTACAGTACTTGATAGGAAACAGCTCCATATGTCTTGGCTTCGTTTCCACATGATACATTAAGATGTTGTCTTAAAAGGAATATTCTTGGGCCAAGAAAAAAAAACCCAACACATCAAAGTCGTTCTTCGCTTGCAAACCAGAAAACGCCTTTGTAAGGTGCAACAGGGTACTTCAGACTTCTCAAGAATGTTCAAATTAGGATTTTTCCACCCTAGTATTTATGGATTTTGCTTTTCCAAAGCATAGGGGCAAAGCATTGTTTCCCTGCTATGAGTCAGCTGTGCTGGGAGATTTGGTGGAGTTAAATCCCGTGATTCCCAGTGAGGAAAGAAGGCTTGTCCTTGGATGGTGTCTGCCAGCTATCTGTAAAATGATGGACAGCATTTCTGGGACAGTTAAGGCCGGACACTGCTGTCATGCGAAAGGCCTGCCTTGTTCTCACTTTTCCACACGCTGGGTATCTGCTTAGTTGCCACCGGTCAAGTTAGTGTGGCAGAGTGAGAGGATGTTACCACTTCTGCTGCAGAGATCTTTTCTACCACTGGATGCCCACCTTTCCTCCTCTTCTCAGCAAGTGTCCCTTCCTTAGGTAAAGGACTAAACACAAGAGAAAGACTTAGGGAGGTAGAGGTGCTGGTTGCCCTGATTTGATTGTATTACATTGCGTACATGTATCAGATTATCACACTCCACCTTATAGATGTACTTCTGTGTTGATAGAGACAAGAAGTTGATAGCCTAATACAATTTGATAGATGGAACTGATTTCACCGAGGAGCAGGAAGTCTAGAAGAATGTGTCAGGGCAGCTTCTGTCCACGCCATGCCACAAAGTCTTAGGTCACTGGGTTGAGTTGGCACAGGATGAAAAGTCTCTCAGTGGCACCCCAGTTTTCACTTTGCATTTGATTGATTTCCTTTGAAGATGGCCTGTGCGGGCAGGGGCCAGTCTTGGGAGCCTATCCTCTGCTTGCACCCATGCTCCATTGAGTACCATCTTCCGGCCCCCATTTTGTTGGGACACTGCCCAACCCTGTCTCCTCTGACTCTCCTTCCCTTCACTTGGCCTGGGTTTGGTAATGTCAGCCTCATACCGACCCTCTCAGGGTTGCTGGCTTCTTTCTCTTCTGGATTTTTCTTTGAATGCCTTTTTGTAAACAAATGTTTCTAAAAATGATCTCTGGCCATCGGCACTGTGCAGCCAGGAGTGTTCCATGCAGGTTCTGTACCACCCTCTTCTGCCCATGAGCTGCCCCAGGGCACGTGAAGGGCTTTGCAGAAATAGTCCCCCTTGCCTTTCTCAAGATCGTTACTAGCTATGGCAAAAGTATCCTCTGATCGCTAGTAGGGACCAGATCTCTCCACAAGGAAGGATTTGCTTTTGTCTTTTGCTTGTGTCACAGCTCCTCTCTGGATCCTAGAGGGGTTCTCGATCAGATTGCTGAAGATTCTGTTGGTCATTACCCACCGAACCTCCTCACTGTGAAGACCCAGTAATAACTGCATCCTGCTGCTCAGATACAGTTACTGTCTAGACTCATTTGAACAAAGTAGTGCTGCAATTGGGGAATGAACTGAGATTGGTTGTGAGTGAAGAATTGATAGGGTGATGTGTTCGTAAGAATTTGTCATCATCGTCTTCATCTTTCCTTCTTCTTTCTTCTTCTTGTCCCATGCTGTCATTGCTACCACAGTGCTATATCCCTAGCTCGATTTTTCTGCTGGTTATGTTTTAGATACGGTTTAGCTTTCTTGTCTGGGCATGTAAGGACCTCAATCCATGTACTTTAGACTTCCCACCAGGGCTATGACAACAAGCATATGTAGCACTAGATCCAGCCCTCCATAGAGAAGGCATCCAGTCTTCTCAGGTCTCAGCCTCCCGAGGAGCTATGACTACTGCCAAGAGCAACCAGCACATGGCTTATATGATTCTTTTTACTTGTCTGTAGGCCTGAAATTATTCCTGGTAATAGTTACATGATCTCATATTTGTGGCCAGCTTCTTTTCTTTCATACACTTATTAGTTTGCCCAGTGACCATTTTTTTTTTTGTTTCTTCCTTCTTTAAAAATTTAATTTGATTGTCAAGGTGATGTACAGAGGGGTCATTTTGTTGTTCCCCTTCCCTTCCCTAATTCAGATAAACATATACACAATACCCTGGGTACCAAGGTCAAATACAGTGACAACAGGGAATAAACCACAGGGGGAAAAACACAAAAGAAAAAAAATGACATAGTACATTAAAAACAACAACAAAGAAAAACCTCTTGTTGCCATGTCAGCATTATTTACCATAGCTGAGATATGGAACCAACCCCGATGCCCCTCAGTAGATGAATGGATCAAGAATATGTAACACACACACACACACACACACACACACACACACGCACACACACACACACACACACACACATGATGCCCCTCAGTAGATGAATGGATCAAGAATATGTAACACACACACACACACACACACACACACACACACTGGAATTCTATCATCGGAAAGAATGATATTGTACCATTTGTATAGAAATTGAAAGACTTGGAAAAAATCATATTAAGTAAAGTAAGCCAAACCCAAAGAAACAGATCCCATGCTTTACCTCATTTGTAATAATTAGTTTATGTCTAGGATATTGCTAGCAGATGAGCAGAATATCTCAATAGCTATGTACATATGATCTTATAAGAAGATGCTAAATGAAATGACTTCCAGTGAGCATTTATTAAGGTGCTTCTACATGCCTTTTACTATATAGATAGCTGCAACAGATTTAAAAATAAGCATATTAAAAAAAAAACTCCAGATAACAGTGACTATCAGGTCTAACCGTGGGGATCTAGAGAGGGAGAGAGAAAACGAGAGAGCTGAGTCCCAAGAAGCCTATCATTCTCTTTGTCCGATACCAGGGTAAGACTGCACCCTTTGAAGGCTTACTGGACTGGGCATCTCTTTGTGAGCCAACTGCCTGGTTTCC